CGAAGAGAGGTTCTACAATGATGTGCATGCTTCTTAGAATCTCAATTAGTCCATTTTAATAGAAGTACCATCAACATCAATATATATAACTCAAGGAGAGAGAAAATTGTTTTATTAATGAAATCAAAGTGTTAGTGTGACCAACTAAATATAATATTACATGTAAATCCTCCGAGGAATAAATATGTGCTTATGAACTTCCATCATCTTCGCAAGAGTTGTTGATGTTAGGAGTTGCAAGAAATGCATGTATAATACAAATTGGATGCTCTATTTCCTTCTGTTCATTTCTTATTCGTTCTTTAGTTTTCTACTACACACAATCCTCTTTTTTTCTGAAGTTCTTTGGAAATCTTTTTTAAGAGGTGTGAGACTGATGTTGATGGAATAATGGATTTTATAGGGATTTGTTTGATGTAAAACTATACCTTTTTTTAATGTAGTATTTCTATTTTTTTTAATTGTATATTACTTATTATTTATTTTAATATTTTAATATAAATGTTTAATGTAGGATTTCTATTTTAAATGTTGTATGTTTACATATTACCTTTTATAGTGAAAAAGGTAATCTTACATATGTTTTATGTAGTTTTCCATTTATGTTGTATGTTTACATATTGTTATTTTTTTAATGTAAAATGATAATCTTACATATATTTAATGTAGTATTTCCATTTTTTTTTGTTGTATGTTTACATATTAATTTCGAAGTTATATGTTTATTGATTTTTTTTTGTAAAATGTTAATGTTACATTATGGAGATAAGCTGTATTTTGTTTTAGTGAAAAATGGCAATCTTACATATGTTTAATGTAGTTTTTCCATTTATATGCTGTATGTTTACATATAATTTATTATTTTTGAAATTATATATAATCTTTTTAATTTTTTTTTATAAAATGATAATGTTATATTATGGAGATAAGCTGTATTTTCTTTTAGTGAAAATGGTAATTTTACATATGTTTGATATAGTATTTCTATTTTTATGTTGTATGTTTATATATTATTGAAAATTAGTAATATTAAAATGTAAAACTTTAAATTTGCCATGTGGCATCTTTTTGAATAGGGTTATTATGGTGAGTTGGACGCTCCCATGAGCCTCGATTAGTCCCTTTTAATAGTATAGATTCTAGATTCAAAATCTACTCAATTAAGCAACAGTAGCATAATGAATCCTTACATGTATTACAAATGAACCGTTTATTATGTTTTTTAAGTTTCTGAATTCCAACAAGACAAGAACTCAACAACCAGAATAAAAGCCCAAAGCTGAAGGTGAATGTTTATATTGTTACTATTTATACAAAAGCACGACAAAGAGGAACGAACTAATACGAAATCCCTTGGTCACAAAGTTATCCACATGAGATGACTTTGAAACGGTTTCTTCTTTCTCTCAGGCATCCACTGCTGCTTCTGGTTACAGGAAATAACATGTGGCTCCGATTGTGAGCTAGTAGGTGGCGAAATGGTAACAAGAGATTTTAGACGTTACCTAAAACTCGTCTCTCTTTCAAGGGTTGCTTTTATCATCCTTGCTGGCATCCTTTCCAGTTTTATCGCCCTCATGTGGTGTATACTGGCCGGTGGAAGACGGTGAATAACCAGGAAGTGTTGGTGAGTAACCTGCACTGGGGCTGTAGTCAGGGCTTGCTCCTGAGCTGTATGGGCTGTGAAACACATTCAACAACCCCGTTAACACATTTTTACACAAATGTAAATGCCAAAAGACATAGTAGGTAAACATTTTCAATCAGATCGATGCATACAACACATTAAAGAGTGTATTAAAACTCAAACCTGCTTGGACTGTATGTTGGACTTGAAGGTGAATACGATGGAGATGTGGGTGAGTAGGATGGTGATGTAGGGCTGCAGAGCAGAATTTACATGAATAATTAACAAATAGAAAAACAATAAACCATTAGAAGCGCTTCACACTAAAAAGCAGATTACTACTCACCTGTAGTTTGGAGATGTAGGGCTGTAAGGGCTAGCTGGTGATAGTCTTGCATTGCTAGGAGAGTAAGCCAAAGATGGACTGTATTTAGCAGACTGAGGGTTGTAGCTTGGAGACGTAGGACCGTAACTAGGAGACGTTGGACTGTAGCTTGGTGAAGTAGGGCTGTAGCCAGGAGATGTAGGGCTGTATGCGGGTGAAGTAGGACTGTAAGAAGGAGATGTTGGACTGTAGGAGGGTGACGTAGGGCTGTAAGAAGGCGATGTTGGACTGTAAGATGGTGAAGTTGGACTGTAAGATGGAGAGGTGGGGCTGTATGCAGGTGATGTTGGGCTGTATGCAGGTGACGTTGGACTGTAAGCAGGAGAAGTTGGACTGTAACTCGGGGATGTCGGGCTGTAGCTTGGTGATGTTGGACTGTAGCTAGGAGAAGTTGGGCTGTAGCTCGGAGACGTTGGGCTGTAGCTAGGGGAGGTGGGAGAATATGAAGGACTTGTTGGAGAATAAGCAGGGCTTGTTGGGCTATAGCCAGGAGAACTGGGACTGTACGTGGGCGAAGTGGGACTGTAACCAGGAGAAGTCGGACTGTATCCAGGTGAAGTGGGACTGTAACCAGGAGAAGTCGGACTGTATCCAGGGGATGATGGGCTGTAGCCTGGAGATGAAGAAGGAGAAAACGCCATTCCACCAACATATGGAGAAAACTGAGCATCTGACATTGGAGACAACCGCATATTTGGACTCAAGAGGTAGTTAGGGGACATCATGCTTTCATGATAAGGAGTTCCTGACATTGGTGAGCGAGCAGGAGTCATCCCAAACTCCAGGCCATCCATATAGCTAGGAAGCTGAAGTTCAATTGCACTCTTCAGCATCTCATCATTCATATACAGCTCGCAGTCTCCTGTTCCAATTGGTGCAAGCTGGCCGAGCATAATATTTTCGGTAACACCACGCAAGCAGTCTGTCTCAGCATAAGCTGCAGCATCC